CCGTGTACTGTTTGCACACTTAATTGCAATAATTCTAATTAAACGAAACGAACCATTTTTTTTTTAATATAATGTCTACATTTTGTACATGTAAAAGATAATTAAAATATTTATTATAACAAAACAAAAAATAAACTTATTTAACTGCAGAACTGTCAACATGTATCAAAAGACGACTTTGAACGTGATTCTGAAGACTTTTTTGTGATCTGAATTATTATAGAGTATTTCGTGATGGTTGCCGATGATCGAACGTGACCAATCTAGTTAGAGGCAAGCTTTACAGCAATTATTTTCAATGAAAGGAAAAGATTGAAACTGCATTACTTCGTAATTGGCGTTCATTGAACCTACTGTTTGACATTTGTGACAAAGTCACTAATATAATGGATATCAATTTTAGCATTTTAATTCAGTTTTATTATATATGATGCTTATTTTCAGGCTTCTTTTGTTAAGACTTTACAAATATTACATACAACAATACCAAACATAATATAATTTGAAAATTTCCAATATTTTCCATTTACCCCAATATAATGGGGATAGAGTGTGTTAATTTCAATAATTTTTCAAGGATACATAAAATTTTAATTGCTGAACGTTCTCAACGTCATATATCAACCACTTTATACACTCAAGCCTCATTTTGTGCGATTTATTCTGTTTTAAACAGTACGGGATATTTAGTCCATCACTCATGACATAAAAGATTTAAACTAGAAAAATACAGTTAGGAATCCAATTTTTGCAGAATTTTACGTTTAATACTGGTAATACTGGTATTGTTTAATACTTGGAACTGCTATTGTGAGCTTGTTGTGTTTTTGTTGTTTCATGAAGTATGTCTCTGTAATCTGTAATCTTTTCATAAATTTTATAAATTCATTCTATCTACTTATTTTCTCTGGAATTTTGTTGCGATGTATAGCACCATGCACTAGTATACTTGCATTCATCATGTTGGTCTCATGCTGTTCTAACATCCATTTTTCCTCTTGTGTGGTGGCCATTAGTGTCGCGAGTTCAATTCAGTTCAATTTTTATTGTTTTGCGCATTATTTTGTATTGAGTTGTATAGCTATTAATATCTTTATATAATTGTATGAATTTTTAATACATAATTAAGTATATAAGATAATTATAAATAATTATAAATATAAGATAATTAGATTGAATATGATGAATAAATTTGGATTAAATATGGATGCGACAAATACGAAAAAAAACTAATCGTAAACAATACACGTTTTACCACTAAATATAAAGGCGACTTTATTAAACATTCATGGAACACTTTAGAGAAGAAAACAAAAATTGTGAGCTCACATGGAATGGTTAACGAAGAATTCAACTAAATTATTAAAACGACTGAATCCACTCACACCCTCTCGACCCATGCGATATATATATATTTTTTTCTACATCTACATGAAAGAGAATACACATCAGACATACAATATTTACATTAGACATTCCACTAATAAAAATATCACATAATACAGAAAATACGTGTTAACAATCAAATCAGCAATGAAAATTAATGTTTCATAATCCGTTTATTTAAATATAAATAATAGTATGTAGCATAGTACGGTTTAGTCCGGTTTTAAACTCATTAACCGTACTATGCTAATATTTTTAATATACAATGTTTATGTTTTTTTACTATAAAATTTTGTATATTTTAATATAAAACAAATAAAATAAAATTAATAAAAGAACGAATAAATTTCGATTTTGATAAAGTTTTTTCAGTGCTAAATTCACTCTAAATTATTTGACTGTTGTATTTTTGTTTTAATACAATCTGCCTTAAGAAGACAATAATCTGAAGTCTTAAAGATGATTTGAATTGAAAAAAGTAAAACAATTTTATAAATGAAAATATATTGGGATACATTATTTTCAATTGCTGATAAATTCGATAAAGCTGAAAGTTTTTCACACAGAATTACGACGATGGCTTTCGATAAAGCGAGTTTCAACACTCAAAACTTTCGCGAAGTTTAATCACCGTTGAAATTTCCGTATGTAACAAGAATAAACGCTAATAATTTTAAACATCAAATAAACGTCCATTTATGTGTACTAATTTTAATTTTGATAAACGTTTCAAAAGGTTACAATATTTGCTGAACTTTCTATTTAATCATACAATTATCGATATTAAATAGAACATGATGCATTTTGCCGAATTGCTTTTACTATCGATTAATAGAGCGTTAAAAGTGACCAGCAATTTGATAATCCATAATTGATACTGTACAAACTTGCAGATGCATTGCATTATGCACACGTCCAACTCCACATGAATTGATATCCAACAATGCCGTTCAAGCTGCAGAGATATCCATTACCCGGCAATGCTATTATAAATCCATTACAGACGTGTTGGCACGCATCGAACACACGGATTAATCTATCTGAAATAAATATCGATGAAAGCAAAATTTCAACTATCAAAACTCATAAACGTAATCATTTATTATAGTATTTCATATTTGCATAGTAAAAATGTCCGGATTCGACCAGAATTTTTTAAAACAAACTAAATTGTAATGCAGCAAAGTAATTTTTTTAATTCTGAAAAATTGGTCAAGAACATTATTTTTTTTTCTCTTTTTGTGAAGTTTTAAAGTCCTCGATTAGTCCGGTTTCAAACAGATCCGATTACCCGCATTATGTGAGGTATTGTACAACAAAAAAAATATATTTTTGGAAACACTTTTCTTATTTCACATTTGTACAAAAAGAATAACTAATTAATTTTAAGTTATTAATATTAATGGAAAGAAATTTATACTTTACTTTTTTCATTTAAATATTATTTACTTACAAATTTTGGAATATTTAACAAGACTTTATATCTGATATAAAATTGGTTTCTAGCAAATAAACAATTGTTTGGAATCAGTGTGCATTTGTAAATTGACGAGGAGTTTGAAGACAATCCGAAAACAAGTTCGTTTACCTCTCACTGAAAATTGTTGATGACAATGATGTTATTTCTGATTAGGACTCAGTGGAATTGTGATCTTCATCCCCGAGAGGAATTATGTTTGCTACAGCCATACGGAAACTAAGCAGAAAGTAGATATCTTTGAAAGAAGGCGAATCTCCAACAGTCTTATAAAATGTAGACTTTTAAATTTGTAAAGAATACAGTTTTAGATGCTCCAATTAATAACAGAAAAAACTTAATTTAGACTTGTTTAATTTTAATTTGTTGTATTTTTTCAATATGTTCATTACAATCATATTTTTTTTTGTTAATTTTATTTACTTCCAAAATGTATTTGTCTATTATTTCTGTTAAACAGGAAAAATTCTGTATAAAACCGAAAATAGTTTTTTGTTTAAAATTAAAACAAATATAAACTATAACTAAAAAATCTTAACAATTTTATAACAACAATAATTTGTCAATAATTTCATCTATTATAGTTTAATTCATTAGACACTAGACTATACTAAACACAAAAAATAGTCATTCACAATTTTCGACAAGTCATATAATATTTGCCTCAAAACCATTTTTTTTGTGAGCCGAAAGGGCGAAAGTGAGGTTTTTGTTTGAAATGCCGGATGACGTTCATTAGTCATTTAATTCTGACCAAAGTTAAGCAGAGTTGACAGAGGATAATAATTGGATGAATAATCGGCGCCGTGTGGAAACCGAAATTACAAACTGCGCAACGATTTTCTTCGCCGAAAGATTAGGTCGGACATTATTGGACGTGACGGAGGATTTTGATTAAGTTTATTTTCTAATGGACGGTTACCCAATCACGGCTAAACGGAAATGCCATTGTTTTTATTACATTCTTTATTGGACAGATTAATTGCCGGAATTAATCGTTCAATATTAGATGGTGTCCCCGATTTTCCGATCCACATCTCCGACTATCTTTCTCACTCTAACACGCTCGTTGTTTCCTTAGGGAAGATCTGTGTTGCGTGCTTTCTCGTGTAAACATCAATCAGATTAAATACTAATGTACGAAAAAGCTGAATTGGATAAATCTCTCTTTATTCTTAAGTTTTAACTTTACTGATCTTGACACGTTATATTGACTTTACTTTAAACCCATTCACCAATTTATTTATAAAAAAATATTGTAATTTTATATTGAAATTGAAAAACCTTAACTTTGAATTACATTAATATTTGATCTTAGACTTTAATCATTAATCTATCTTTACGAAAGGAGATTTTTCAAGATCAACTTGTGGCGGTTCGCTTAGAACTAAAATTAGCCTTGCATAAAAGCTATGGCCTATATATCTGCCGCTCGTCCCAATACTTATATTAAGACATTATATAGCATAATAACATTACATAATCATTCATAATAAATAATTTTACTTTTACCTTCTAAATTGATTATTTATTCAACCAATTATATGATATTTAACTAAAAATAAGAACATGGATTACCTTAAAATTAATGCAATTATCAACTAAACTACACAATTAAAGATATTGCATATTTGATTTGTTAATAACCTCAATAACGTTAATACGTAAATTTACATAATTGCATCCAACATACGCAAGATATGTAGGATTTGCTATCTATTTAATTGGTAATTGTATTATTAGATGATGATGGTATCTATCATAGATTCACTCAATCAAATCATTTATATGTTGGATACTTTTGTAAAAATCAAGTATTTTCATTAGAAATAAATTTAAGAATAATCAAAAGATACTGAAGGCCAAATATATATTACAACAAATATTTATGTTACTTTAAGTTTAGTTAAGTTTTTGTATTCTAAGAAATAATGGTTTTTTATTGATATTGATATTATGTTTTAATAAGTATGTAAGCATGATTTCTTATTAAAATTACGAACAGAACTAACCGTGAACTTTTTCCCACAACACTAACGTTAGGGTTAAAAGAACAGAAATTCTAAAACCTGTTAATGTGTAAACTTTAGCTACAATCTTCACAACTTAATAATTTTTTTATTCTTGTCTTTTTCAGACTGCTATGTTGAAAATCGGCATGCTGCTTAGTTGCATTTTCATGTCGAGCACGGCCGTTGAGCACAGCGACAGCCGTCCAAATGAAATCGACGCATCGAACGTCGATTTTGACAGTTACGCAGTTACCTGTTATATCTGCGTCAACGTATCCGATAATCCTGTATGCAATCAGTTCGCCATCGACAGACCCTGCAAACCAGGTAATAACAACCGCCAACCAACCGAATACAAAATACGGCACATAAATTACATAAGTTTTTCGCATCGAAACGGTTTTATGCTAACAATAATGGACCATTTGCATCGAGCGAATACGAAAAAAAAAGAACAAACAAAAGAAAAAACGAAAACAAAAATACATTAAATCCGCACTGCAACAACAACATTAACAAAAATACAAACGAACAACATAATTTTGGTGGAGATTAGTAGTAAAAAACGATTCGCTTTGCTTTTGTACGACCGGTAATTGAAAATCGAGCGAGTAATAATTTGTTTCGTCCTCGTCGTCTATCTTTTATTTCACACAAATTCAATTTATTTAACTTTATACTTCGGATCTATGATATAATAAGAGAATATTTTCTGATGGTGATCATGTATCAATTTCAATCACGAGATAACATACAATGTTTTTAATATTTTTTTGCAGAACACATTTTACTGTCTATACATTGTTTGCTTATATCTCTAATATTATGGGCAAGAAATTCATTGTTGAGCAATCAAATTAAAATAAAATATTCACTCTTTAAAAGGTATGTACCGGTATAGTTTTTTACTAACAAACTTGAAAAAACTTATCTTGTCTTATATTTCGAAAATTATGTGCAACAAATTCATTATTGAGTACCGATTTGTAACTAAATTTTCACTCTTTACAACTGGTATTGGTATAGTTGTATCGTTTTTCATTTACCCGTAATTCACTGTCAAATTTGAAAATAACTTTTTTAAGCTTCGAAAAAGCAGCATCTTTACATCTTTGCTTATATCTCGATAATTATGGGCAACAAATTCATTATTGAGCAACCAAATTAAAACTAATTATTCACTCTTTACAGCGTATCGTTTGTTATTTAGTAAAACTTGATATAACGTTTTTCTTAATCTTTGAGAATATTTTCTCTTTATATTTGTGCTTATATCTCGAAATGAATGGGCAATAAATACATTTTTGAGTCGTTATAGTTTCAATTGGTAATTATTCAATATTCTATCCAATTATTACCAACCTAATTTATCAATTATACAATTTTTCATTTATTAATAATGCTATGATACTTAAACATTTCCGATCGTGATAAAGTGCCAATTTCAATCACCAGATTACTTTAATTTTTTTTAATTTTACACGGATTTACACGAGAGCGGATTTCCTGTGAAATTGCGGAAATGTACTCTATCGATTTTTCATCTGGCTCGTAATTAGATTGGGCAAAACTGTCTTAATTAGCCTCGAATGGCATTCGAGGCTCGCCTAGTAAAAACCGTCCAACAAAACTTATTTTCCAGCGTCAATCGCAAATCTCGATCATCAATCATTCAGCATTTTACCTTCCTTTTTCCATCTTTTTCCTCTCCTCTGTGCTTGTCAGCACACGTATTTTTCGAGCAATTAAACATGTATACGTTTCTCTTTCCGAACCATTTCATATCAATCTATTACACGAAAAAAGAAAAAAATGTTTTTTTCTGCTTCTTCTTCGACAGGTGAAACATTCTGTCATACATTGCACATCATGGATTCACGCGGGACGAGCGTTCTGGTTAACAAGAAATGCACAACGGAAGCCGAATGCCAGCAGAACAAAGTGGGATGCGTCGAAATTGATACACAATTGGTGAGTTTCTTTTTTTTTTTTTTCAAATACCTTTCCATGAAGTAAAATAATCTGAATAATATTTGTTCAGTGCATGTTACATTTTTCCATCAACATATTATTAAATCCATCTCGCGTTCGTTTTACTGCAACTTTTCCATCTTCGCGCATTGTCATCGTGCATCCGATACTTCGATTCCTCTGTTATTCCCTCGCATGATGGATAATGGCTTATCCGTAAGTTCGTATCCATCAAATACATATTATTCCTCGCATCCCCAACAACAACGAGGTATAATTAATTTTAAGCTTAAGCCGTGAAAATAATCTTTAGCATTAATAGTTATTGCTATAATTAGAGCATCCAGTTGATTTTACATGATCATTAACTACTAGCAACTTCATGGAAATACATAGGAAACCTGAAACTATAAAATTTATATTTGCGGACGAGTGGCGTATATATCCGCCATATACTTTAAACTATGTAGTTAATTTGATAATTATGATATATTTCTTCATGTTTGATTACATAATTACAAAAATAATTATATAGAATATTATAACATGTGTCATATTTGCATTTGAAATACGTTAATTTCAACAGTATTATCGCAGGAATCTCCTCTATTTGTAAACTTTCATGGAATAGGTAATATTTGAGGGTTTGTCAGCATCTCATAATTGGCAACTAGGGAACGAATTCTGCAATTCCAGCAGCTGGACGTTAAGTGCTTTCTAAAATTAAATGTAAAATTAAACAATTTGCATATATATTTGTGCATTTCTTTCTGTTTTCCTGAAAAATGCACAGATATTATATTTATGAATAAATTTTGAACTGCATATTTTATTCACATTTTATTCATTATAAAAATATCTTGGAAAACGGTTTAACATTTCAATAGAAAAATTATTACTTTTATATCTTATTTTTATAATTTTTTGTCATTAGTACAAATAGTCGTAAGTTGAAAAGTCACTGTAATTTATTCTCAAACTTTTCAAATTTGAAGTAATATTTATTTTTCAATTATAGCAAATATATATAAGTATAGATGAAAATATCTGTTTTCTCGTTAAATTGAATGGATGCAAGGATTACACAAATAAATAAGCCCTTTTACGATCACACTCGATTCAATGCAGCTCACGTGTACACGTCCCTATAGAAAAGTTTAGTAAATAAAAATTTCGTTTGAAGCGCGACAACATAAATAATTTCATTACTGAAGGCCTTTATAAAACTGCCGACGATTCAACGATCGGATCGATCCAGTTCCGTTCACGTTTATTACGACTATTTTTGCAGGAGATTTAAATGAAATTCGCAATTTCCGCATTGGAACCTTTAGAATTCGACGAACGGGGATTTTCGTTGCAAAAAAAAATAGCATCGTTAATACCTTAAACAACGTATATATATACAAACCTCTATTAACGAATAGGATGAGTTCAATGTAATAACTTCGTTAAGCGAAACTTTGTTTTCAGAGGAATAAAAACTATTGCTTCGTAAAGAAAGACTGTTAATTTCGTTTTCATTTTTTGTTTTCGTTTCTCACCAGGTTTTTCCAAAACTTTCACTGAAAAACCATTACCTACTGCATTCAATAAATAAAACGTCTATTAACTAATAGGATGTGTTCCATGTAATAACTTCGTTAAGCAAAACTTTGTTTTCAGAGGAAATAATAGTATTGCTTCGTAAAGAAAGACATTTAATTTCGTCTTCATTTATTGTTTTCGTTTCTCATCAGGTTTTTCTAAAACTTTCACTGAAAAATCATTACCTTCTGTATACAATAAATAAAACCTCTATTAATGATTAGGATGAGTTTCATGAAATAACTTCGTTAAGCGAAACTTCGTTTTCAAAGGGGAAAATGCTTTTGCTTCATAAAGAAGAACTATCAATAACGTCTTAATTGTTTGTTTTTATTTCTCACCAGGTTTTTGAAAACTTTCACTGAAAAATCATTACTTTCTGTATACAATAAATAAAACCTCTATTAATGATTAGGATGAGTTTCATGAAATAACTTCGTTAAGCGAAACTTTGTTTTCAGAGGATTACAAACTATTGCTTCGTAAAGAAATGCTATTCATTTCGTCTATATTTTTTATTTTCGTTTTCGTTTCTCACCAGGTTTTTCTAAACTTTCACTTCTACATTCAATAAATGTCTAACATTCTCTTGATCGATATTTACGTAACCTATAGATTACAACCATCTGACTAACTTAGTTTCACTGATTCTACTACAACTTCTGGTCATGTTCATATACAAAATTACGGACTTTGTTACATCGAAGCTTCGTTATCAGAAGTAACGTTAACCGAGATATGACTGTATTTGAGCATCCAAACATTTTCCGCTGAAAACATTGTCGGGTTTCGAGCCCTAAGTCACCGAATATTCGTTTAAAAGTTTCTAATAACTTTTATATGCGCGCGGCGAAGTTATGTACTTGGAAAATCCATTATAAACTACTTGCTTTATTTTCCTTGATTAAAATTCGCAATTTTTTTTTCCACCATCTGCATTTTCATAGATTTTCCTTTTTATTATTATCTTAATGTTCGAAATAATATGAAAGTAAAATAATGGTATACCGCATAAATTACACCGAAGATATCCCATTACGTAAAGTTCTGAAACACTTTTTTGTTTCTCTTCTCAAACTTGCCTAATCCTATTTTATTATACTTTTTTATATTGTTTTCCAAATTGTTTAATACTATACTATACTTTATTTATTTATTAACAATTGTTCAATAATTACATTTTTATCAAATTAGTATATTTCAAAATTGTTGCATTTATATATAAATTGATTAATAGTATTAATCTGTTATTTATCAAATATCTACCTTTAAACATATATCAATCAAATTAGTTTTCTCTTGGAAATTAATTAGCATTACCATTTTATAGAAATATTAAACCAAAATTATTTCAATAGATCTAGAATATTGTACAAATAAATATTACAGTAATACATTGCATAATTCAGCTTCGAATAGTGCGGATTCACTATAACACAGTTTCAAAATTACAAAACAAATTAAATTATATATCAGTAAAATTTTTACTATCCTCAATTAGTGCGGTTTTAAACCGTAACTACTACGGACATATAAATAAAACCACATATGGGTCAAAATGACCCGTTTATTAAATATTAAAAAAAATAGAACAAATTATTAATTTATACAACAATTATACTGTACCATACTGAAAATACCACTAGAGAATACTAGAATATCTAGAAGTATCAGGTGGGTCACTCTGGCCCATCCGTAGTACTTACGGGTTTAAATATTGACAGAACCAATTACCCGTAGTATAAAACGCATTCCTGCATGTCTGGGTAAAGTAAAAATAAAGCAGAAAAGTTTGAATGAATGAAATATTTGTACATTAACAATTACACTTGTCATATAGTATTAAATATTATATAATATATGAAATACTTGGGTTCACACTGTTTGTTAGGGTAAGTTCGTAGACCAAAAACTACTTTTGCTTGAATTATATAATTAAGAAATTAGTAATGTGGTCCATCTTAGGAAACCAGTTACTTTAATTATACAGATTGTCAATTTTTTTCGATTTGTTGACCATTCTGAATGTTATTATTTATTAATAAATATTAACAATTGTCCTGTTTTTTGTTATCTCTAAAATATCTATGTTATTTAATAAAATGGTCGTAAGACCATATATTTTTAAATTTAAATTTAATTAAATATGTATTTATTGTATTGCATCTATTTTATTAACAATCTATTACAAATAATTTCATAATTATTCGGATTGTATCTTTTGCCAATCCTATTTAATTATTAGCAAAACTAGGACAGTGTTTGCAGAGGGCACTAACAATATGATTATTGATTCCATTTGGATACAGTATATAATTTATTAATGAAGCCATTCAATATTTACAACCACATGGCTTAATTTGTAATGCGATATAGTCGTAATCGTATTTTCTATAATATAATGGTTTAGTTCAATATTATATAACTCCTACAAACTGTTTTATTTGTAGAGGTATACCCGACTTACAAACTACTTCCGTTCCAAAGTTTTGTTCGTAAGTCGAATTTGTTCGAAAGTCGGGGGAATTTTAAAAATTTCAAAAACTTATCTTACCAGACTTTATCATGGTTTTTGCTTTTATATATGTTAATTTCTGTATTACTGACTCCATATATTTGAAAAAATAAATTACAATAAACAAAATACTTATTTACAAATACTTTTCAATGTAAACATCATAATTATTTCATAAAAAACGACAAAAGAAACAAATGCAACAAAACACATAGTACATCTTCCAAAAATATTATATTTTATTAAAGAAATTATTATTGTAACAAGTTAGAGCTTTTAGAATTTTGTTTGTAAGTCCGCGAGTTCGTAAGTCGAAATTTATTTTATAATATTTTTTAATTGAATATCTTTTATTGTTATAAAATTACAAATAAAATTTTAGGTTTAATAGGTATAATTTAGCAATCAAATAACGGAAATAATAATATTTATTAGAACACTAAAATTTCAAAGGGCTATTGACCAAAGATCTTTCTGTCCTAATAGAAATATATTCTCATAAATATTTGAAAATTTTATCATTAAATTCAAGATATATTAAAAAAAACTATATAACACTATGAGAAGTATCATAGTGCGAATAAACGGTTACGATGACAACAAAACCGCATTTTTTAGAATTTATTTTTATTTAATTAATTGAAATGTTGATTGTTTTGAAATTTTGAAACCGTACTATAGTGAATCAAATCCGCACTATGCGATGTATTGTTGAAATTTATAGAGTTCCAATTTTGTATGAAAATAAAAATGACATAAGCTTTTTTTTTATGTCGTTAATATTATTCACAATCTGTTCATCAATGTGAACATTGAGTAAATTTAAGATCGCTGTTGACATTAAATGGATAATCTTTCCCGCTGGACTATCTTTTCATAGTTACCATTATGATGATTT